AAAAAAAAAAAAAAAAAAATCATTGAAAAGTATATTCTCTGGTGAAAACTAACAAAAAAAACACAACCCTCAAAACAAAAACAAACAATAACAGCAGACATCAGAACATTTTAACTAGGCAAACATTGGCCGAGCACCTCCTCTGTGTTTAGTACTATGTGGGTGTTCTTTAACTTGTTGTTGAACCAGGTAGTTTTGAGACAGATAGATCAGACAGCAAAGAATGATAATATATGGATGAATAAATACAAGCTAATCTGAGGTAGAAATAATATGCATGTGTGTTAGGCCTTGAAATAAAGGATGGATTTCAGTGACAGATCATGGGGAATTTAGAACCTTTTTTGAAATAAGAAAGAATGTTTAGAGCAAATGTTTAGAAATGGTTGAGTAGAGAGCATACCATTGGTGAGTGGTCCAATCTGACTGGAGATTAGGGTGGGTGAAGAATTTAGTGATAGATGAACCTGAAAAGATGGTGTAGAATCAAATCGTGGAGAGAGTTAAATTCCAGGTTCAGAAGAATAGGAAACATCCTCCCAAGCCTGCTTTGAGGCAAGTAGTTTCGATTATGTCCAGTTCCTCCCACTCTGGTGGAGGTGTTAGCAGTGTTCTGGAAGCATCATGCCCCATGGCCAATGTGAAGCACACAAAGCCAGCAAGGCAAAGTGGCTTTTCTGGGCATTGCTTTCATCTCTATTTCAGCCAGATATAGGCAATGTTGATGTCTTGCTCTTGTGTCTACTAGAGGTGTCTGCATCACAGATAAATGAATCTTGGAAGAATCTTTGAGTCCCCAACCCCAAATGTACTCCCCTGCACTTGGTCCTCTGGAATGTCTTGGAAATGTCCTTGTAGCGGATGGGGGCCTCAGAGACTCCACTTGCTGCAAAAACATTCATACTTTATGTAGAAGAGCAAAGTTACCAGATGAGAGACAGAGGGGGGAGGTTGGTCTTTAAAGAGAGACTATGCTTTTGAGATTATGGCTTCATACCCCTGGGACTAAAAGTTATTTATTATAGCTTTGGCTTGTAGAAAAACTGGCATTTTATGTTTTTCTCGTGCCTCACTTATTTTTCATTATGCTTTGTACCAGAGGTAGAGCTCCTCTCTGGTGGTTGCCAGCAGGTGAGGTAATGAAAATCACCACAGCAGATGAAAGAGACCTTTGTGGTCATTTAGTTCATCCTCCACAAAGAGTAAAGCCAATCTTTTGCTTAATGAGAACTCTCTTCCTCTTGATTCAGTCAGAGTAAATGTCTCAGCATCTTTGTGTTTCCTTCCTGTCCGGATGGTTCCTGGCACATATTCAGTGCCTCAGGAATGGTGCTTGAATGAATGAGTTGGCACCACTCTGATAGGAAGATATTTGTCTTTTTGTTTTGCTTCCTGTAAGAAGGACTACAATGTGCTATTTCTGTTCAATCATTCATATATATTTATATGCATATATACTTCCAGGGACAAGGTAGAATCAGACTTGATATTTCTGGGATTGCTGATCTTGGAGAATCGATTGAAGGAAGAGACAAAACCCATCCTGGAAGAGCTCATCTCAGCCCAGATAAGGACAGTAATGATCACAGGTATATATAAAAAAGTAGGAAACAGTAAGAATTTGATATGGAAATACAGATTCACTCATTTAGCAAATATTGCTGACTTGTGGACCAGACACCATTCTAGTTCTGGAGATGGACAACAAAAAGGCAAAGTTATTGTACTCACTGAGCTTCCATTCAGGTGGGATGAGATAGAAAATCAATCAATCGATAACCAAATAATCAAATAAACGACTATCAATGAATGTTATGAGGCACATAAAACAAAACAGGGTAATGTGGCTAAGTGTCTGACTGGCTACTTTAGATGAGGTGCCGTCTCTGAGAAGGGACATTTGAGATATCACCTGAATGAGAAGATATAAGCCATGCAGATGATGAGTTTATTGTTAAATGGTAGGGGAAGAAGACTGCTGAGTCAGCGTGGGTGGGAAACTGCCCTGAAAGCCCATCAATAATGAGATCTACAACTCTGGAGATGTAAAAGAAATGCTGTCCTCTCTACTTCTACTCCCAAACCCCAAATCACACAAATAATGGAGTGGTGAGAAAGGATCATGTAAGGAAATCTGTGAAATGTCCTAAGGAATGTTTCTGAATTGAGAAAAAATGATTTCCTAATGCATTCATATTTTCTGAGTATGTCTTCCCTTTCCCTGATCTCATAGTCAGAAGCATTCAACTCTATTAATTGTGTTACCAAGATAGAATATTTCCCCACCCCACGTCCCCTGAACCCCGTTCTACTGTTGGGAACTCCAAAATATTTTACATTCCCTTCTGTACTTTCCCATCCCCCTAGTCCCGCCTCCACAATCCAAGAGACATTTGGACCACTTTTACTCTCTCCCTTTCCAGTCCCTCAATCCAACTTTTAGGTCTTGCTGAGTTAATTTACTACTTATTAAAGTTTCCCCACATTATGAGACCTCTGTTTCAAACCCCTTTATTTTGCACTATATTACACATTCTCATAATCCACCTTTAATCATTAGCCTTAAGTAGAAATAAAAGTTGACCCCCTCCTCTTTACTTTTTCCCTCATATTACATTTCTGTCCTGTTTTTTTCCTTGCCTGGTTATAATTTTTTCTCAAGAATTGTCCTTGGGCAGGATAGAAGGGTGCTATGCACTCTGATATCTCACACAGTCTGGAATATCTTTCTTTGACAGTTGAGTGAGTGTAGAATTTTTAGGTTACGTTCCTTTTTTTCTTAATAATCTGTCGGCATCTTTCCTTTGTCCTCTGCTTTTGGTATCGCATATTATAGGCTCAGTGTCAGCCCGCTGGGGGTGACTTGTTCTCTTCTGCATATAATCCTGTTCCTTTAACTTTGAAGTTTAGAAATGTTGCCAGAATGTGCCTGTAAGTTTGTCATTTTTCATTAATTTGGCCTGGAGTATAGTGAACTCTTTTAATCTGCCTTCTCCCTCTCAGGGAAATTTCTTCTGTTGTTCATTTAATTATTGCCTTTGTTCTCTCTCCTTCCTTTTCCCCTTCTGGAGCTTCTATTATCCATATGACAGGCCTCCTGGATCTGTCCTCTCAGTTTCTTTTTTCTTGTGGCTGTTATGTTTTTATAATTTTGCTTTGTGCTTTAAGATTTTTTTTTTTGCACCCAGTTTTCTCAAACCACAAACTCAAGTCTCAAAAATGACTATTACCTTTTCCAAATTACCTGCTGAATTAAGTTCTTAAATCATGTTTTGTAGTGGGAATGGCTCTAGAAAACCTTTTTTTTTTTTTTTTTTTTTTAATGCAGGTTTTATCTGTCTCCTGCAGCTGCGCTACTTTGACCCTATGTATTCTGGTTGTTTTGCCTGATCTTTTCCTATCTAGCTACTGGGGTTTCTTAAATAGGTTGTTATATATCTTTGTCGGATGACTGAGGCTCAGGTCTGGGCTGCATATCCTAAACAGTAGAACTCCAGTGGGTGGGATGCAAAATGGGCCTGCATTGCAAAGCAGACCAGCTGCCGGTGTCCTGCTGAGGCAGGTGGAGGAAACCTCTTAGCTCTCAATGCTCCCCATACTCTTCCAGCCTCAGGGTACAGCAGGTCCTTCCCACCAGCTGGCTCTTTTAAGGGTCTTCGTAAGGATTTTGGTAGAAACCTATGCTAAGGATAGCCAGCCAGATCTTATTTATTTTTTAGTAGTTCCAGGAATTACAACATCCATACCTACCCTTTCAAGAAGCCTTACAACCATAAACCTTCTGTACCTTCTCTCCTTTATGTTACAGTTTTCATGTGTATGACAATGACAGACAATGAAAACCCCACAATTAAAATCTTACTTTCAACAGTTAAGAGTTAAAGGACATAAGTGAAGAAAAATAGGCTTTTACATTTACCCAAATTTTTATTGTTCCTGTTCCTATGTTTTCATTCCTCATATTCTAAGTTTCACTCTNCAGGCAATTAAAATCTTACTTTCAACAGTTAAGAGTTAAAGGACATAAGTGAAGAAAAATAGGCTTTTACATTTACCCAAATTTTTATTGTTCCTGTTCCTATGTTTTCATTCCTCATATTCTAAGTTTCACTCTGGTATCATTTTCTTTTAGCCTAAATAATTTCTTTTAGCATTTCATTTTGATCATGTTCTCTGGCAAAAATTTATTTTAGTTTCCCTTTATCTAAGAATGTCTTTATTTTTACTTTATTCCTGAAGGATATTTTTATTAGCTATAGGAGTCTGAGTTGGCAGTTTTTTTCTTTCTGTACTTTAAAGATGTCGCTTCACTGTCATCTTGCCTCCATTATTTTTAATCTGAAATCTGTGATGATGTTAATTTGAATCATTGCTCCCTTATATGTAATGATTGTTTTCCTAGCTGCTTTTAAGATCTTTTCTTTAACTTTGGTTTTTAGCAGTTTGATTATGTGTCTGGATTTGGTTCTCACTGAATTGTTCACTCAGCTTCTTGAATATGTAAATTTAAATTTTTAAACACATTAGGGACACATTAGCTATTATTTCTTTAAAAACAATTTTCCTGTTCCAGTCTCTTTCTCCTCTTTTTGGAAGACTTTAATGACATAAATGTGAGTCTTTTTAATATTTTTCAGTTTCTTTTCTTTTAAGATTTTTTTCTCTGTTCTTCAGATTGTATAATTTATATTGCTCTATATTCAAATTCACTGACTCTCCTCATCTCCATTCTATTATTGAGTGCATCCAGTGAATATTTACAATTTCAATTATTATATTGGTTAGTTCTAAAGTAGCCATTTGGTTCTTTTTTAGAGTATATTTTTTTCTGTTTAGGCTTCTATCTTGTCATTTATTTCAAGGGTATTAACCTTACCATGTGGAGGAGGCTTACAATAGCTCCTTTAAAACCATGGTGCAATAATTACAACATCTGGGTTATTTTGGAATGGGCAATTAATTGTTGATTACTTTTTCTTGAGAATATGCCGTACTTTACAGGTTTTACTGTATGTTGAGTATCCTAAATATTTCAAATATGATGTTTTTGAGACTTTGGATACTGTTAAAATTTTCTGAAGAGTGAATTTTGTTTTGTTTTCAAGATAAATTCAGAAATATAGGAGGTGATTAATATCGCCTTTGCTATTCTTCTTTGGATTTGTTCTGCAGGTGCACAGCTCTGACTTGGGCCAGAGACTTACTATAGTTCACACATACTGAATTAGTCTCCTTGCCTAGGTCTTTCTTTCCCAGGATTTCCCTCATAACTCTTAAGCCCTCAGGCACTCCTTTTCCTTGTTCTTCTGGCCAGAAAGGCTAGTTTCTCAGAGTTTTTGCTGCTTGCACAGTTCTAGGGTCAAATATCTGAGAGGAAAGAGAAAAAAAGCCAAGAATCTTAGCACCTTGTACATTGTTTCTCCAAATTTGACTCTCTTTCACATTCTGCTTGCTTATGTTTACTTTCAAGGTTGCTTTTTGTATTTTTGTTCAGTTTTCCATTGTTGTCAGTGGGAGAGATAGATTGTAGTGGGTTTGCTCCATCTCTGCTGGAAGTGGAACCACCAGATACTATGTAAAAACAGTAGGCTCTGTCCTGGCCAGTGGTCAGAGCACCAGCCCAAGGACTGAAGGGTCCTGGGTTCAATTCCAGCCAAGGACATGTACCTCAGTTGCAGGCTTGACCCCCACAGGGACCCAGTTGGGGCACATGTGGGAGGCAACCAGTCAATGTGTCTCTCTCGTGTTGATGTTTCTCTCTCTCTCTCTCCCCGTTCCACTCTCTCTGAAAAGCAATGAAAAGTGTCCTCAAGTGACGACTAAAAACAAAAATGAAAACCAGTTAGCTCTGCTAAATGTTACCAAGCTGTTAACAAATGACAGAAATAAAATTGAGTTTTGCCCTTTTGTTTTTCCTTCCCATTCTCTGAAAAAATATAATGGTAGGTCATGAAGTAACGAGATGAGAAGCAGCAAGAACCAGAAAGAGGTGGAGAAATCAAGGACAATCAGGGCTGAGGGAGACATGAGAGGTTATTTCTCCTCACACCTACAACAAAGCCTTAACTCCTTACCCCAGTTTTCCAGGCCCTCTATGAATTCGTTCTATCTCTTCAGCCTCATGTTAGGATAGTCCTCCTTTCTTCTAGGTGATAACCTTCAGACTGCAATAACAGTGGCCAGAAAGTCTGGAATGGTTTCTGAAGGCCAGAAAGTCATTCTCATTGAAGCAAATGAAAGTGCTGGGTCCTCATCAGCATCTATATCTTGGAATGTAGTAGAAGAGAAGAAACACATTGCCTACGGGAATCAGGTATACCTAAAAACAGACTTTCTGCCATGTCATCTAAGTTGTTTCATAGTGTTGGTGACTGAGCAGCGTTGACTGGCAGAGCTGTATGAGCCGTACAGGTGACCTGGGGTCAACTTACTTCTCCAAATGTCTAACACATATGCAGTGTGAAGAGCTCAGTTATATCAGTTTCCATATCTTTCCAACTGAGCTTTGAGGTCCAGTGCTTTCCTGGGTGCTGGAAATAATCCATTCTTTTAAACTTAAAAGCTTTTGGCTCTGTATGAGAAAAAATATAGTAATGGGGCTGGAAATCTAATTTCCCACTTTTCCCTTGCTTGCCAGCCACCCTCTTGAGTTCAAAGGGGATTTAATCTCTAGGAGAGGTACCACTGTGTGAATTGAAAAATCAGACTATATCTTCAGGTTAGGGAAGAAAGCTTTATTCATTTATCCCCAATCTTGTCAGTATCTCATCTCTATTGTATCCTTGTGGAACGATATTAATTCTCTAAGGAAAAAACCTGTAAGTTCTCACTTCAGGGAGAGATTTGTTAAGCTGCAGTGCTTTTGTGTTTTATACTTGAAATGTGTGAGATGTGCTCTTGTCTGNATTTTATACTTGAAATGTGTAAGATGTGCTCTTGTCTGGACTCCCCGAGATCAAATCAGGCTGAGAACAGGACATGAGTAAGTGTTATTTTTCTGCTCACTACAGAGGTCTTGATGTGCAAAGGTTGATCTAGCAAAGAGAAAGTGCTTCCCTGAGGAATCGGGAGTGGAGTATGTGACTTTTACAGAGAGACCCCGGACTGCCATTGCTGTCCTCTCTCAGATATGCTGTGGTCCTAAACATTCTATCAAGTCTAAAATAACTGTGTCTTGCTTTGCAGGATAATTACATTAACATCAGGGAAGAAGTCTCTGATAATAACAGAGAAGAAAGTTATCATTTTGCCCTAAGTGGAAAATCCTTTCAGGTTATAAGTCAACATTTCAGCAGCCTACTGCCAAAGGTAAGTTCTTAAATGGTACTGATCTCCTAGTAAAGATGCTGATAATGTCATTTACAGAGAATGACCCTCAGTAATTTCAAACCTCTAAACAGGTAAGAGATACCTATTGAATGTATCATAAAAGAGGGAGATATTTTTATAGCAGTTACTGTTGTCTCATTTCCTACTAGATTTAAAATAAGTAAACTTGATTAGCCAATTTTCCATCACTTATACCTGACTATTTAGTCAGGGGCACTGACTTCTTTTCCCCTTAGATTGTCAAATAAAAAAATTACAACAGTCAACCCCACAATAGCAATCCAGTGTTTTGGTCAAATTGACCAAAATATATTTTTTGGTATGCAGCAGAATTTTAATAATTAATTTATGTGTGCCATGAGATGATAAAGGTTGAAATTTGCTGATTTATAGGATTAATAGTGACTTCTCAAGTCATCAGCATTACTTGGGGGTAGCTGTCACTACATTGCCATGGTTAGGAGTCTCACAGTGTAGTGGAAACCCAGCAATTATACAAGAAAATGGCTAGGAATGGAGGAATTTCACTAGGTTTTTGATGGAGGACCTCTACCTAGAAAAGGGTCAGACTTAAGAACTTTCTTGATGATGAATAAACCCATAGTGGGGGCAGATAATTTATTTGCACTCAATTACTCACCATCTTAGGCACTGTTTAAAAAAAAAAGAATAAAAACTTTGAAGCTGAGTGAACACTAAGCTGAATTTACTGCCAGGGGGAGCAGGGAGCCCTCAGACCTAACACAGGATAATTTAGATTCTGTAGAATGGAGATCAGGTGGAGGGGCCAGTAGAGGCTCTTATACCACCAAACCATCAATGTTCCATAGTCCAAATCAGGTTTGGGATATCAGCTGAATTTTACAATTGATCAAGACTGCACTAGCTACTTTACTATTTCACCAGTAGGCTGTTTTTCTGCTAGTTCTGAACAAGTTTCTGAGAAGCAGTCGCCTCATTTCCTTTTCCTGGAAGCCTTGTAATTTCTCATGCTCTACTGGCTTAAGGTTCCATTAAGCTCAGGATTTTTCCATTCTCCATGGCAGCTAAGCTAAATTCTTGTAGGTCATCATTTCCACCATATATTTTTATGAAGTAGTCATCTTTACTGATTTTGATCTCCCTGGTCACTTATCTGATGACCAATGTCCCAATGTCTGTTTAAAATCCAAAGGAAGACTTCTTGGAAAAGAATGTTTTTCTTCCTTCATGGATATCATTACCCTGTTAGTGTTATGTGTTATTAATTATTTCATGTATGACCAGCTGATATAATAAAATATTTCTCTTTTGGGTTCCTTACAGATACTGATGAATGGGACCATCTTTGCAAGAATGTCTCCTGGGCAGAAATCCAGTCTGGTGGAAGAATTTCAGAAACTGGAGTAGGTTCTTTCCCAATTCTGGTGGCGTGAAGTGCCTGGGGGCCTGGCAGTCAGGGGAGAGTAAGAGGTACAGGAGTCACTCTGGCTAGGGCAGTGGTTCTTAACTGAGCTGCACATGTCAGTCACCTTGGGAGCTTTGAAAAAACAGCAGTTCTGATTCAATTGCTTACATGGGGATTGGGAGTCAGTATTTTTTCAAAGCTCTCCACATAAATCAGTCTTGCACCCAGACTTGAGAACCACTGACTAGAACATAAAGGACATGAACAGGTGTGGTGAGAAACAGCCTGGAGAGGTAAACTGAGCTCAGCTCCCGAACGGGCAATGAAAAGTTAGACTTCATTAGTACAAACTATTATCACAGCTATGACATAGGGACATTTATATGACAAGAGATTCAAATAACCTTCAAAATATACAAACATTCTATGCCAAAGCATCCTCTCCACCCTGAATCAGAGAGAGAATTTCTCTTCGAACATAGAGGGTTTCCATTGATAGAATGGGCAGTCCATATAAAGTGCCCGTCCTTTGGGACCCTTTGCTTATTTATTTACTTTTTGTTAGTGGAACTTATAATCCTGAGGCTTCCTCTCCTTCTGCTGCTCAACCACAGAGACAGGGCTCCTCCTGCTCACTGCTGCTCCGTCCTGCTGCTCCTCCATTCAGTCGCTCTGCAGGCGCCTCCGCTCAGAAGGCCCCATCTCCACGTGGCTGAGAACCCAGGCCGCACCCTAGTTGCCTTCATAGAGCAGCGAGTAAAAAGAGGCCCAGCAGATTCTGTAAATGCTGTCAGAGTGCTCTTACCTTAAAAAGCAGATTACCCATGATCTTTGTCAATGACTTAAGAGCAGTATTCGCTCAGCCTCAGAAAGCTGTTTGAAGAACAGATGTATTTTCTTTCTTCAACTTCTGGGTCTGGCACTGCATTATTTGTTGAGTGACTGCTAACATGGCCAATTTTTTCCTTATGAACTGTTAACAGCACCAACAAGCAAGTTTTATTTATCATTTTAGAATTCATAAGGCACTTTCCCATACAGCACTTCGCTGAATACACCTAACACTTTGTAGGAGAGAAAAATGATAGTCCAAACAGTGAAGTGAGCAGGCCGATCAGATCTCAATCTTCCGCTTTCAAGTGCTGTGCCCTCCCCACCCCCCGTGCCGTCTTATGCGTAACTGTGAGACCCCGTCTTGCAGCTGACAAAGCTGCTTCTGAGACAGTGAAGTGCAGGTCTCCCTGGAACGCTTGAAGTCTGGGACAAGCCGTCCTGGAATTCTTATCCATTGTAGCAACTGCTGCATCAAAGTTTACTTTTTAGTCAAACCAGACTATTAGGGAAACTCCCTTGAAATAATAAGTTTGAGCCCTAAGTAAGAAAGCTCATTTTATCTTTTTAATTAGAGAAATTAGCATTTAAGATTGCTTTGATCTCTTCTATAATTGACGTGGTGGTTCTCCTTTAGTTACTTTGTAGGTATGTGCGGGGATGGAGCCAATGACTGTGGGGTAAGTAGTGCCAGTGTGGGGACCGTAGTCTCACACTGAATTGTACTTGCCCAAAGCCCTTTAGAGAAAATATCTCCTGGGATATACACTCTCTCTGCTCCTCTCGATGGAGAAACTGATACTGAGGGTTGGGAGAGTTTTGACTCCCAACTGCAATAACTCAGTTGGTCCTTAGAGACTAAATGGGGTAAAATTTTGTTCTGAAGTTCCCACTTCTTTTACTGGGTGTCCCAGCATGTTGTGAACAGCTTATTTGGCCCTTTTCTTATGAGGCCTCAGGAGAGATGTATGTGAGTGTGCATGCACCGTAAGCTGACTCTTTGCTTTCAGGCTTTGAAAATGGCTCATGTGGGCATCTCTTTATCAGAGCAGGAGGCATCTGTGGCCTCACCTTTCACTTCTAAAACTCCAAACATTGAGTGTGTACCTCAACTTATCAAGTAAGTAAGTGTTTTCACCAGCATTGTTTTAATCTCTCTTGATTTCTAGGTACAGGTTCCACTGTTTTTTTCATTTTATTATTTATTTATTTATTTATTTTTTCAATTACAGTTGACATTCAGTATTATTTTGTACTAGTCTCAGGTGTACAGCATAGTGGTTAGACAATCACATATTTACAAAGGATTTCCCCTGATATTTTCAGTAACCAACTGGCACCATGTTATTGACTATTTTCCCTAAGCTGTGCTTTACATCCCATGACTATTCTGTAATTACCAGTCTGTACTTTTCATTCCCTCCACCTTTTTCACCCAGCCCCCTGACCCACCCTTCTCTGGCAACCATCAGTCTCTTCTCTGTATCTGTGAGTCTGTTTCTGTTTTGTTTGTACATTTATATTGTTCTTTAGATTCCACATATAAGTGAAATTATATGGTATTTGTCTTTCTCTGACTGACTTATCAGATTCCATTGTTCTGCAAGTCAAAGACCAGGGAAGTTTTTCATCCTTGGGTGGGGAGGGTGCTTTGCAAGAGATGAAGTCAAACGTTCTACTCCCAAGTGGACTTACCCCGAGCTAAAATTAACTGTGGGAGAGCAGTGGTATTTCTAATGAAAGCCACTGAATAGGTTATTTTTAGAAAATTGGAATCTGAAACTTGTTATGGCTTTGAAAGTGTTAATTATATTATTATTATTGCTATTATTTTAAATGTATCTCCTTAAACATTTTATAGTGGGGGACTGAGGGAAACTTTCTCTTCCCTGTTTGCCTTCCTTCCTCTTGCCTTTTTATGCTGCCTTGGGAAATGCTTCCCATCTCTAGTTTCCAAAATATTTACCTTTGCTGCTTCTACTAAAATTTCCCTTGGTCCTTTGTTCTCTCCCTCCACCACTGAATATGTACATCTGTTGCATTTTATTTAAATGACAGAGATAGTTAGCATCGTGACTGCTTTTGGTTATTATAACTGCTATGTGTTTACAGTTTAAAATGTGCTTTAATCCCTGTTTTCTTGTACTTCAAAAAGCCTAGAGATGTAGGAATGGTCACTATTTCTTCTACAAATAAAGAAATTGAGGCTTAGGGGTGGGGCAGGGTGGAGGTGGGCCAAAGGGGGGGGGGATGGGGATGAAAAGAAAGAAACTGCTTGGGGCGATGGGGGCACAATACAGTGTGCAGATGATGTTTTATTGAGTTGCACACTTAAAACCTGTATGGTTTTGCGAACCAATGCCACTCCAATNTTTTAAGTAAACAAACAAAAGAAATTGAAGCTCAGAGAACTACTCAAACTCACACAGTCACATAGGATTGGACTGCATTAGAATTAGTTTTGTTTAAATGTGTTTTATCTACAAATGTCATACTCCTTCCATCACATTATAATAATGATGTGGCTAGTTCCTTCCAATGTTTTAATTTATTCACATGTTCAACAAATATTTATAAGGTAGACACTTAGTGCCAGGAACAGTTGGAGGCACTGGGGACCCAGAAGTGAGTAAATCAGATGTCCTTCCATCTCATGACGTTTTCCTCCAGTGAAGTCAGGCAGTAAGCACATGTGCAGATAAATCAGGGGACTTGGAAAGGCAGGAAGATGCTGGAGTGGTGGAATTGGCTGCACCAGATGAGGCGCATGGGAAAGCCTCTCTAAGGAGGTGAGTGAGGGGTGGGAGACACTGCCTTCTAGGCGGAGCGATGGCAGCAGCGAAGCCCTGGTACAGGAAAAAGCTTGGTGTGAGGATCAGGCTTTGGAATCCCAGGAAACCACTATGACCAGAAGTAAGTTTACACTCTATTTTTTCCAAAAGGAAAGAAAAAAAAGTGGTATTTCATAATTTATTCCATGCTTTAAATATACACTATTTACTCAAAGTAAAACAATAGTAACAAAAATGAACATCCCCATTGTTTCTAGTCTATTTAAATTTGATATGTGACTAATTTGAGTGTGTTTATTATTTTAGTCCAGTTTTAGAAAAAGGTGGGACTCTCAAGTGAAATTTGAATAAAGTGTTTGCCAAACTCCTGAAGCACCTGCACGAAAATAGCCCCTAAGCCCTCAATCNATGAAATTTGAATAAAGTGCCAAACTCCTGAAGCACCTGCACGAAAATAGCCCCTAAGCCCTCAATCTTACTCATATTCCTCGGTTCACAGATGAAGAAGCTGTGACCAAGGGAAGGGAAATGACCTTCCAAATCACATTAGTGAGTAGGTATGAGATCTGGGACCAGCCCAAGTCCCCAGACTCTGAACTGAACTAATGTCTGCAGAAAGGATGAGTGACTAAATCTGGCTCCCTGGCTGGATCAAGGCCTGTGGACCTCGGAGTGGAATTGGCCTTTCTGGAAAATTTAGTCGTTTAGCACACTGACAGCCAGCTCCCACTGGCTCAAGGCTGCCCAGTCTGTCAGGCAAACAATGGAATAATCAGACTTTCGATCTTTTCTCCTGAGCTCAGGCGAACAGCACAGAATAACTGACCTCATTTCTTTCCATTACTTTCATCTCATTACCTTTTTGTTTCTTTTCTCACACAGGGAAGGACGTGCAGCCCTTGTCACCTCATTTTGCATGTTTAAGTACATGGCTCTGTACAGCATGATTCAATATATTGGTGTTCTGCTGCTCTACTGGGTATGACTTGGGACCTAGCCTCTTGGTTAGAGAGAAGTGAGACAGGGATAGTGCACTCTCAATTGGCAACTTCTTAAATAAAGAACAAATAGGAGACTTGAGCACTAACAACCCCTCTAAAATGATCTTTAATGTTTTGGAAATAATTCAGAAATAGACAAATGTGCACAGGTAAAGTTGTTGGTGTGATTTCTCTGACTCTGACAGAGAATTACCTAGTGGTAGTTGAGGATCAGAATAGAATAAATCACTTTCTCTCTTGCTGTTGCTTTCGCCTGTTTAGACCAGGTCTTTGTCTTTCCAATCCACAGTAGCTCTCCCCTCGAATAACACTCATTAAAGAGATGATTGGGTGCTGGAATGTTTCAAAACTGGCTCTCCCTGGAAAAATAAGCCCTGCTTATTAAGGTTTGCCAATTTTAGTGGTGTAAATACTCCCGCCATGGCTGGTTTCAAGCTATCCACCTGAACGTGGAGTTGGGGAGAAACATGCAATGGAATATCATTATGTAGTACTTGCACCATATAGATACGAGACCTGTGAATAACC